CCCCAAAACCCCAAAACCCCAAAACCCCAAAACCCCAAAACCCCGATTAGAGATTTTCATATTGAGATTATATTATTCATCGACCAAAAGTTTAAACATCTTCTTCAAGATCTCTTTCAAGCGGAGATTGAACTGCAGCTGGTCACACACTGTACAATCTATTAACAGAGGAGTCAGAGTCTTTACATGGGGCTTCAGATCTGATTTGTGTAGGTTGCGTAGAGTTTTTAGGACAGAATTAGAAACTCTATCTGAAATTGACACTAGAATTCTCTTCATCTCTTCAATGGCTTCTTCAAAGTCAATGCTGCCATACTTTTGAGTATTCTGGCCAGATGTAAGCTCCATTCCCATATGAAGCATCTTGTCGTAATTCGAGGCGAATTCCTTCAGGACCTTAGTCGAGAACTCAATTATCTTAAACGTGATTTCTTCTTTATTTATTCCTTCTTTCGGGTTATTGTACAAACCATTTAAGAGCTCAAAGTAAATCTCAAGTCATTTAATATGGTGCTTGAGCAGGATAGGAATTTTCTCATGCATTGTCTTCAAGTCAATCTTTGTGTACAAGTTATACCTCCTCTGAATGTTCATGTTGAAATCATGAGATACGTCATAGGCGTACTCAATGTTCTTCAGTATTCTTTGACAATCATCAGAGTCAAGAATTTTAAAGAACTCAGTTATTTGCTGCCCATTCTCAATTAATTTCAGCAACCGAGAAGCTTGGGTCTGGTAAATAATAGTGAGTCTCTTACTAGTTCCATATTTGCTTTCTTCTTTTTCAATCTCTGCATGAGGTTCAAGGAGATTCTTGTCTTCCTTGTTGTCGAAGAGGTTACAGACTACGTCAATATATGCTTTGCAGAGGTCCTTGTCAAACCTATCTTTTCAGTGCTTGCTTAGCTCTTTCATTCCTTCAAGCATCACATTGGATATTGGTGAGTTAGGATAATTTGACGAAAAGTTCCTAATTGTATCAAATAGAATTTTCACAGATGCCGAAAATTTCTCATTCTCCATAGTATTAAACAATCCAATAAGATTGGAGACCATTGTATCTGTATTTGCTAGATAGGTATTATGCATTTCTTGATCAGTAGACTTGGTTTCCAGCTTGATATGTACATCATCGAATATAGCCTTAAGTAAATCTCTCATCATCAAATCCCAAAGAGCTGGAGAAATTCCTTCGTTATATTTAGTCAAGAGACTAAACATAAGCTGGGTTGCTCTCTGAGTGACATTAGTCTTTGGTTCAAAGCTCTTCTTTGAGAGTTCGTAAAGGACACACTTCCAAAGTCTCTTTTTATACTCAAGTTTTTCCTGTCTTGTATTAAACATCTCTCTAGATTTCTCGATAATTCTCTCTACAAACTCATTGCTACTTCCGAGATAGGTTGCAACTCTTTCAATGAGGTCAAGTGCTAGCATGGCATGATCTTCGAAGGTATTATTCATGAATTTAACTAAACAATTGATAATCTTTTCAAAGTATTCCTCAACATATTGGAAGTTTTCCTTCTCAAGGATTATGTTGAGCGTTTCAATAGCTTCTTTGGAGAGTTCGTCATTATCATTTTCTCCTCCGAATTTGAAGATTTCGATGATAATTTCCCAACCTGACTTAAGATTTTTGGTCATTTGCTTTGCAAATGAACACATACAGCTCATGATGAAGTGGATTATACCCATCCTCATTGGCATGTTGTTTAGCACAATGATATTGAATGGCTCCAGGAAGTGTTTCTGGAAGTGGTAATTGTTTAATTCCTCTTTTTCGAGGAACTTTTTGGCTAACTGTCTTAAAGAATCAATAGCATATACAGCAACTTGTTCGTTATCATGAGATCCCACTGTAGAAATATGATCTTTCATAACATTCCACATGTTAGAGAACTCAATTCTGGCTCTGTTCATGTTCATATCACAGACTTCTACCAATTTTTGAAGAAGGAAGATTCTTGGGCCTTCTGCCTTTTTAAGTTCTTCTCTTGATACATTGCACATTGATTTGATCAGATCAACGATTGCAAGTTGGTTTAATGCTTTTGAATTGGAGAAGATCATATCAATATCTCCCTCATCAATAGCTGTAAGGATATGAGCAGCATTCTGTGCTTTAATAGCCTCAGCTTCAGGATCGCTACTCCTCGGCTCCATTTCAGTGAAAAGGTCTTGATATCCTCTAGCTCCAGATCCCACATTGTGATAATAATTGATCATGCTGACAACTTTCAAAATATTTTCCCAGGAATCAGCAAGGTAGTTGCCTTCGTGCATTGCCAAATGAATAATAGCTTGAGTACACTTTACATTTTTCTCAGTAAGTTCTCTCTTTAGCAAACCATCATTATCGGTTACTTTGTAAATTCCTGTAAAGTTTACAAGGGAAGACACGAAAGCATTCCTCTCAGTGCTCATATTATAATACCCTCAAATCTTGATAGAGTGCAAGAATCCATCAATGCAAAGAGCCAGGATGTTTGGGTCATCGTGGAGTTCCAGAAGCATTGAAAATACAGCAAACATTGCACTCCAACAAGACTCAAATAGAGGTCCAATAGCATCACTGTTATTGACAAGGATGAACTGAGTAGTTTTCTTTTTGTCCTTCATTAATTCATATCCTCTTTTGGCCAGACCTTGTCCTTCTTTTATAAATATCTCCTGTTTTCTTTTATAAGAGTTAGCACTAGAACTTTCTTGTTTTAATCTAGCTTCATCATCCTCTTTCAAAGAGATAGGTTCTTTTTCGATAGTATAAAAGATTTGTTCAAGGAATTCATCTGTGAAATCAGGTTTGATTAGTCTTGCTTGCTTCTTAAAATCATCCATACCCATTCCAAGCTGTTTTGCAGATGGATTATGCAGTCCTGTCTGAAGCATCATGATAGAATATGATAGCAAGTAAATACACTCTGAGTCACCAACAGTTCCAGGATTATCTTGCACATATTTTTCTCCAAATTTCTCCATTATTCTATCAACTTTTTGTCCCTCTCCAGGTAACCTAAAGAAAGAGAGAAGAATTCTGAGTCCAGTGACTATATCCTTTCCAACGAAATCATTTGAGTCTACTAGTTTATAGAGCACATCCTTATTCATCTGGATGTCTTCTCCTAGGTAGTCTCCGATAGCAGTCAAATTCAGAGTTGGAGTGGTTTTTATAAAGTTCAAAATTAGTTCAAGCTTTTCCTCGTAAGCGATGTCTTTAGCATTATTAAAGTCCAGGAGATATTCAATACCTTTCTTAGGCTTGAGATTAAACTTGGTGGCTGCTTTGTTAATATTACTCTTCAGAGCTCTATTCCGCTCATAGTTATCTTTCCTAGGGTCGTTACTCATCGAGATTGATGTCTCTGTCACTGAGTGGTGCATGAAATGAGGACTTTCTTCTTCGTCATCTTCAAACTCATTCTTGAATGCTCCTGAACTCTGCTGCTTGTTGTCTTCCTCTCTGGCTTCCTTGTGTTCTTCGGATAAGAACTGGTTGAGTCTGGTCACAATCGAGGCTAAGATCTTCAATGCGTACAGTTTGAGAGAATGCTCTTCCTTCTCAGTGAGCATGTTGGAATGTTCGGTCTTGCTGAACTTTCCCTGGGCGATCTTGCTGAGAGTGTCAATCATCTTCTCAAGAATATCTTTCGACTCAACATCGCAGTCATAGTTCACAAATATTTCGATCAAGTGCTTCGTGTTCTTGGCAATCTTGTCGAAGACTCTGAGGATCAGGTACTTGTGGTGGTAGTTCGAGTTGCCTGAGTTTAGAACTTTCAGAAAGATTTCTTCGATCAATACCAGGATCTCAAATTTCAAGTGTTCTCTGAAGTGGACGAACAGAGCGTAGAAGATTGAGATCGACAGAGCAAACACAGTTTTCTCATTGGAGACACAGTGGCGAAGAAGCCCATTACACAGAGAAGTTTTGATGATATTAATGAACTCAGGTCTGGTCAGGAAGGTTGCTCCTGGCTTTTCTACAACATTGAGTATTAACTCAAGTCCCATGATCTGTGATTTCAAAGTGTAAGTATTCATATTTGTAGTTTCTGCTTTCATGAACAGTTTACAGATGCTCTTAAACAGTAGTATGGCGTCAGTAAAATGTCTCTTCATTTCTTCATTGTTGTAGAGTTGAGGGAGCGAGCTATTCCTTTCTGAGTCAACACCATCAAGAAGATTCAAGAGTCTTTGTTTGCAATCAAGTGAACATATAGAATAGAATGTGTCTTTACAATAGAGATTAGCTTCTTTCCGACACACAACTCACCATCCAAATTTTCCTCATGGGATCCCTTTCTCGTTGTCTCAGTCAAAGTCGACTCTGACGGCTGGCTTGGTTCTTGTCTTTCTCTGGTGTCTTGGTACAACCCTGATATTCAGATGTTCAAGCTCGACAATGTGTGCTTTGAGTTCTTCCTGGACTTTGTCTGTGTCGTCTTCCTTTGACTCCAGACTCTTCAAGTGGCTGATCTTGGCTTGAAGAGCATCTCTCCTCGAGTGGTAGATGCACACATTGTCAACCATATTCTGGCAAAGCATGTAGAGATACTGGTCTTGAGAACTAAAATTGATCTGAGTTCCAACTTTGTCAGTTTCGTCTCTTGACACTTCGAGGTAATCTTCTTCTTCATTAAAGAACGATGAGGCTGCAAACTCAGTGACACCGAAGTCTTTCTGGAGCCTCGGAATTGGCTTCTTGCGGCTGTTGAACTTCGCATCCAGACTCTTCTGGATAGTTTGGATGTCGACTCCGAAGTTGCCTGCATAGGCTTCCATCTTCTTGAACACAATGGTCATCATCTGATGTAAAGAGACTTTGGACACATTAGAGTTGGTCGAATTCGTCGTTGACAGGTGAATCTTATAACATGCCCTGAACCCATCCAGAAGGGAAGATTCGTGGATTTTGCAGGATACTGTTGAGATCAGAGTCACTATTCATTTGATAACCTGCAGATGGACGTCAGAATCCCCATCTTCGACTCAGTTTCAAATACTTTCGACGATTGCATCGATGAGCTTTCTGGCGTATTTACTGTTGCCATGGTTAGCTCTACCGCCGTCAGCGTAGATGCAATTGTCGTCACAGTCTCCATCCAAAAATCCGTGAGAGATGAGTTTCTAAATACATGAAGAGCTGGCTTACCTGGATGCAGCTGAGAATTTGGATACGAAGTTTATTGCTTCCAATGTCAAGCGCCATCTTGAGTATAAAGAAATACTTGTTGGCATCTCTTTCGTCTGGACCTTCATTTTGAACAATTTCTAAATTGGGTAAGTTTAAATTAGGAATTCCTTGTAAGAAATCCTCACTAAATAAGCATAGTGAAGAGAATCGAAATTAAGCAAAAGGTGAGCCTTCCGGTGAGAATAGTAAATAGGACTAACAATTTATAAATTGCTTTAATGTGAGGATTTATCTATAGATGTACTAAAAGTTCTCATATGAGGGATATGAATCTAAAATTGGGTCTTTTGCCTTGGCCATGTCTTTATAAGCAATGGTAAACTATCCCATAGACGTGAGTCCTGATAAGAATTTCCTGCTAAGTTCTTATTCTTACCTGCTGCTTTACTAGCTTCTGTCTTAAGTTGGTCTGATTTTCTAGGAGCCAGCCTGATGATCTTCTCCATAGCTTCAAGCAGTAAGTCTTCATACTGTTTTCGTGAATTCTCTGAATCCATTTCTTAACTTTTTATTATAAATTCAATTTTATATAATTTAACCGGGGTTTTGGGGTTTTGGGGTTTTGGGGTTTTGGGGTTTTGGGGTTTTGGGG